TTTCATGTCACGATTTCTCTGTGTAGCCCAGGCCGTCCTGGAATTCGCTCACTCTGTAGACCAGGCTGGCCTCAAGTTCAGGGATCTGCCTGCCTCTGCCTCCTGAGTGCCGGGATTGAGACCTGTGCCACTAACGCCCTGCTGCCTCTTCTCTCGAAGTCTCCCTCTTTGATGCTTCCACAGGGCCTCATGGCCCCAGTTCAGGCTTCCAGCTCAGGGGAGCAATCCCTTCCTCCTCCTGCTCTCTTCTGAAGCTCGTCCTGAAGTCTTCACTGCGTTTGCTTTGCTTTCTGTTTTGCTATGACTTTTAGGGGGTTTGTTTTTTGTTCATGTGTATCTGTGCGTGTGTGTCCCACGTATGTGGTGGCAGCAGAAAGCCGCCCCCCCTGGAGCTGGAGTTGCAGATGGTTGTGAGTCACCTGATGTGGGTGCTGGGACCGATCTCTGGAAAGCAGCTGTGAGCCGCCATGCCTGGCTCATTCATTGCTAAGGGGATCAAAAGTTTTCATCCCATAGTTTTATAAGCAGTGTACTGCCCTGTCTCCTTGAGGATATTAATTATGTTTTCAGAAGCTCTCTCCGTGCTGGGGAATGTGGCCCAGTTGGTAGAGTACTTGCTTAGCATCCAAAAAGCCTGGGTTCGATCCCCAGCCTCACATAAACTGGACATGGTGGGATAGGGGAAGCAGAGGGAGGAGGGTCGGATGCTATAGGTCACCCTCAGATAGACCTCGAGACTGGGGCCAGCCTGGGATACACGACATCCTGTCTCAAAAACAACAACAAAAAAATGAACCCATATTTATTTGGTTGGCTCCTTTGTTGTTTTTCCTTGTGATTTGCTGCCTATTGAGTGGTGCCTTTGTTTTATTTTTCTCTTCAAATAATTGAGGTCTTGGTATTTGTTTATTTCTATGAGTTTACTTCTGTTTATTGATACCTTGACTTTTTTGTTTGTTTTCTTCGTTTTTTGAAGACAGGGTTTCTCTGTGTAACCCTGTCTGTTCTGGAACTCATTCTGTAGACCAGGCTGGCCTCTAACTCACAGAGATCCTCCTGCCTCTGCCTCCCGAGTTCTGGGACTAAAGGCGTGTGCCATCTCTGCCAGAGGACACCTTGACTTTTGATACACTGGTGGTTTGGGTGAAATGGGGAAGAGTATGCCAAAGATCTCAGCCGTCTGACGTTGAAGGAGCACTGAAGGTCACCCGTTGATGAGTCTATGGGGCTAGGCAGATAGCGCAAGCCGGCCTTGAACTCACTGTGTAGCCCAAGATAGCTTCAAACTTGCAATCCTCCTGTCTCAGCCTCCTGAATGCTGACTGTAGGCGTGTAGCACGCCTCTCAGCTACATGCCTGATTCTTGATACCAGCAGGGACAGAGGCATGGTTCTTACTCTACCTTCAGCCACTTCTGCTGTGGTCCCTGCCTTCGCTCTGACACCGTGATCCCCGCCTTGCCCTCTGACACCGTGGTCCCCGCCTTGCCCTCTGACACCGTGGTCCCTGCCTTCGCTCTGACACCGTGGTCCCTGCCTTCCCTCTGACACCGTGGTCCCCGCCTTGCGCTCTGATGACAGTCACCTGGGGTGGTTCCCATCCACACTGGCCACACGTGTTGTTCCCAGACTGCCCCCGTCATTAGTGCTGGTCCTGTTGGCTGCATGTTTCCGGCGTGCTCTCCTCCTCCAAATTACTCCCATCTGTTTTCTGTCTCTCCTGGAAGCCTCAAAATGTCTAGCCCACTGCTTCTCATTTTCTAATGTGGCTTGGGACTTATTTTTAGCTTTGAAATTTCTAGGATATGGTGGTGGGTGGGAGGGGTGGGAGCATGTTCCTGCTAGACATCGTAGCCCAATCTTCATAAGTGCCCTGTCCCCTTCTCCACCTCTGCTATCCCTGCTCAGGTCTCCTTCCCTCTCCCCTTCTGTAGCCAGCCATTGTCCTGCTGAGTCACAATCTTGGCACCTCACTGGGGGATTCTAGGCAGGGGCTCTACCACTGAGTCACACCCCAGCCCCTCACTGGGGGATTCTAGGCAGGTGCTCTACCACTGAGCCACACCCCCAGCCCCTCACTGGGGGATTCTAGGCAGGTGCTCTACCATTGAGCTACACCTCAGCCCCTCACTGGGAGATCCTAAGCAAGTGCTCTACCACTGCCAACCCCTAGCTCTTCACTGAGGGATTCTAATAGTACAATGCTGAGCCACACCCCATTCCTCACTGGGGATTCTAGCCAAGTACCCTGCCACTGAGTGATGCCAGCCTCCAGAGGAAGTGATATGACAGACCTGTGTCCTTGGACACTTCCTACTGTACAGGGATTTCTGGCTGCTTGTGTCTCTCTCACCCTTTCTGGCGCATGTTTATCCTTCTGTCCCGATGCTGTCCCTTGATGGCTGACATAACCGCTGTAATGGATTGCTCTTCCAATGCTTAGCGGGTAGCCTTTCCTAGAACTGACCCTGCTCTGTTCCTGTACCTCCTTGGGCTCATCAGGTGTTTGGGCCCCTTCCCCTGTGTTCCGGGGCTGTGACCATGTCCTTCTCTGTCATACCCACTAGAGTGCCGTTTTGCAGCAAGGTGGGGCTGAGTCTCCTTCATGGAATCCACAGGTCCGCGACCGAGATGACACCAGGGCTTAGAGCCCAAGGTGCTCTCCCTTCCCCTCAGCCCTGACACAGGGTCTCTGATAGTTCATACTGTCAACTTGACAGGGGCTAGAGTCACCATGGAACCAAAACTGTGGACACACCTGTGAGGGAGTTTCTGGGCTGGATTCATTCAGGTGGGAGTGTGGGCAGGACTTTGAGGCTTCTGGTCTCAGCGTCTTCACAGTCGGGAAGCAGTGAGCGGCAGATGCCAGCACTAAGCTTGCTTTCTTTGTCGCTGACCCCAGACCCCCGGATGGCGCCGCCCATGTTCAGAGTGGACTTTCCCACCTCAACTACCCCTCTCTGATAAGGCCTTACAGACACGCCCGGGTGTGCGTTTTCTAGACGGTTCTAAAGATTAACCACCACAGGCCAGATACACCGTTCAATGTCAACTGGCATTCATCTGGGCTGCTGCACACTTTGGGAGACGGTGACAGTGGATCTGTGTGAGCTGGAGGCCAGCCTGGTCTACATAGCAAGGTCCAGACCAGCTAGGGCTACACAGTGAGACTGTGTCTTCCTGTGGAGGGTGGGGGCGGGAACAAACTAAGGCCTTGAAGAAAAGAGAATGAAGTACAATAAGGTAGAAAAGACCAAAGATTCGATAGTGGGTTGTTTAGTGACCACTTAAGGCACTGTGTGCCTAGTTCCCAACACGGCTCCACTCACTACCCGAAAGAGAATGACCTGCAGAAATAGCTGATCAGTGGGCCGTGGTCTTTCACGACCTGCCGACGGCCATGTGGGCTTCCGTAAAATCTCACTTGCCTGCCCCGACTGTGGTTTTAGACTATACTATGAGAATACGAACTTGACCAGAGACCGAAGCCTTTCAAGAGCTGTCCTGGCTTCCGCTGGCTGGTGTTGGGGACTCCACAAGCCTCGCGGCTGCCAGGGAGGTGAAGAATAAAACTCGAGTCAGTACCGTCTTTGCAGGCACCGGATCAAAACTTGCCGGGTCACAAAGCTTTAGGCATAGCTGCGTAGGGACTCTCTGGCAAAGTGGCAAAGCGCCTGTGACCATTAAATAGGAGTGAGCTCTATTGGCTGGCAAATGAGCTCAGCTGTGGGGCCCAGAGAGGAAGGGTTTGCAGTAATGTAAGGTTGGATTCTGTTGGGTTTGCAGTAATGTAAGGTTGGATTCTGTTGGGTTTGCAGTAGTGTAAGGTTGGATTCTGTTGGGTTTGCAGTAGTGTAAGGTTGGATTCTGTTGGGTTTGCAGTAGTGTAAGGTTGGATTCTGTTGGGTTTGCAGTAGTGTAAGGTTGGATTCTGTTGGGTTTGCAGTAGTGTAAGGTTGGATTCTGTTGGGTTTGCAGTAGTGTAAGGTTGGATTCTGTTGGGTTTGCAGTAGTGTAAGGTTGGATTCTGTTGGGTTTGCAGTAGTGTAAGGTTGGATTCTGTTGGGTTTGCAGTAGTGTAAGGTTGGATTCTGTTGGGTTTGCAGTAGTGTAAGGTTGGATTCTGTTGGGTTTGCAGTAGTGTAAGGTTGGATTCTGTTGGGTTTGCAGTAGTGTAAGGTTGGATTCTGTTGGGTTTGCAGTAGTGTAAGGTTGGATTCTGTTGGTGGAGGATACAAAGTGCATGGACCTCTTCCTTAAGGATGGGTTCAACTGCCTGGAAGACAAAGCTCAGGGCCAGAGCCTAAATGATGCTCAGGGTCCGGGGTGGTGGTGGGGGCGGGCTCCTGACGGACTCGCAAAGGGTCTCCAGCTTCTCCGGGTTGTTTGACCACTTTCACTCCGGCATTCCAGGTGACCAGGCATCATTCATTCTTCTTTGAGGTCAATAGGCCTGTGTGACGACAGTCCTGGTTTCTCCAATGCTTACTCTGAGCCATGCTTCCTACACATCTCCTCTCTTCCAATCTCATTGGTATCGGAGTGCCTTTTTCTGGACACAGTCCCGCAACAGGCAGATCTGGTCCAGACCGGATGATGATGGCCAGAATCCAGAATCACCCAGAAGCCCTAGTTCTGAGTATGTTTCTAGATTGGGTTAATTGAAGTGGGAAGAGCCACTCCAAATGGACAGCGCCATTCCCTAGGCTGGGGTCGGGGCCGAATAAAAAGGAGAAAGTGAGCTGAGCACCAGCATCCGCCTCTCTGCTTCCTGACTGGGGTTGCCATGTGATCAGCCGCCTCACAATCTTGTTGCCAGGCTTACTGGCCTGATGGACTGCATCCTCGGACTCTGAGCTCAAATCAACCCTTTCTTCCTTAAGTTTCTTTTGTTGGGCATTTTATTTTGACGGTACCCTTTGCCCGTAGCACCATCTTCTAAACTACTTTGGGGTCCTCTGGGAATGGCCAAGGCTAACGTGACTGTTGCTGTCCCCACAGGCACTGGTGCCATCACACGGTGACAAGGACAGTGTCCTGCCAGGTGCAGAATGGCTCGGAGACGGTGGTCCAGCGAGTCTACCAGAGCTGCCGGTGGCCGGGGCCCTGCGCCAACCTTGTGAGGTAAAGGCACCCAGGGTGCCCTGCTCTGCCTTGCCCTTCTGCTCCCTTGCGTGGCATGACCCGAGTACAGTTCTGGGGTTGGCTGGCTTGATGCTCAGAGAGAATCGAGCCCAGGTTCTGGGTATAGGGAGTGAGGTGTGCATGCCACCATGGGAGTGTCATTGTCCAGGGTTACTGAGGGAGGTGCCAGAGCAGGTGGTGACAGGTGGTGCTGCTTATGGAGAAAGTAAATGAACCAAATTTATCTAAAAGCTTGGAAACCCAGCCCCTTGAAAACACTCCTCCTCTTACAGCCACACCCTCCCCAAGCCACACCCTCTCACAGTCAAACCTTCCTGTGGCCTCCAGCAGCCACGCCCTCTCCTGATTCTGCACTCTCAGAGCCACACCCTCCAACGACCACGCCCCCTTAAAGCCGCACCCACCCCCTCAAGTACACCCACTCCCAGCCCTCCGCCTTCTCACAGCCCAGCTTTCTTAGAGATTTCCCTGGCTGTCTCATTGGCTAGGATTCACTCTGCAAGCCTAGGTTCCCTACTTTAAGACAGGGAAGAGAATACTGCCTCAAGATATTGCTGGAGGAGGAGATGAGGTTCCATGATGGAGGAGTCCCGTCAGCTCCCAATCAACTCTGAGGCGGAGGCTTTTGATGAGTGGCGCGAGCTAAGACGCCGACTCCAGGCACTCAGCCCCCAGGCAACTCCTGGTGCGGTTCAGGCCTGGGCATGCTGTGTGCCTGCATTCCTCATTCTGAGGTTAGGGAGGCACATGCTAGCAAGACCCCCGCCCCACCCCGAGCTGACTCGGGCCTATTCGTTCGCTTAGAATCCCAGTTGCTCAGCAGTTGCTCAGCGTGTCTGCCACGTTTCAACCGCACCATTTACAGAGCAGCGTTCAGGTTTCCGTATTCCTTGTCTGTTTCTCCTCCCCATTTTTCTTGAAGCTGTGTGAGGCCCAATTTTGGTTCTCCCATCCTTTGAAGCATTCCTGGATGCCTTGATTGGTGTTGGCATAGAACCGTGGTGGGGAAAACAGGATCCATACAGAACGCCCTTCACTAAGCGGGAGATCAGCTGCAACGGCCTCTCTGGGTGTCTGTCCGCTTTCTCCGTGGTAGTAACATTGCTTCAATCTCTAGAGCCTGGGTCCACCCTAGACAGCCAGGGACTGTGCCGGTGTGGTTCAGTTGTAGAACACTCTAGCATGCATAAAATAGACACCGGGATAGCACGCTTGGAATCCCAGCATTCAGAAGTGGAAACAAGAGCATCAGAGGTTCAAGGTTATTATCCTCTGCTACATAGCAAGCCCAGCCTTGGCTACATGAGACTCTATCTCAAAAAGAAAAAGAAGAGAGAGAGAGACAGAGAGACAGACAGAGAGCTTCAGGGAAGGATGTTTGGGTGTGCATATTGTCCCAGCACTCAAGAGGCCAACGAGGGGAAACGGAACTTCAGGCCAGCCTGGGCTACATCACAATAATTGACCTGGGCTTGAGATGGCTCAGATGGTAAAGTGCCTGCTGTACAAACAAGAGACGGAGTTCCATCCCGGGAATCCATGGAAAGAATCTGGGCACAGTGGCACATGTTTGTAACCCCAGCCCTGGGGAGGCAGAGGAAGGTGGCTCCCTGGTGCTCTCGGGCCCTCCAGAGGGACACCGCCAGAGGACACAACACAGCGAGTTACTGGGGACAGCGGTGAGTGCGTTTCAGGGGGCAGTGGTAGGCACTGAGGCGGGAGACACTTTGAGGTAAGAAATTAAGAATCTGAGATTTTGCTATGGGATGTGGTTTAGTCCGTAAAGTGCTTGCCTCGAAAGTTAAAGGACATGAGTTCAAGCCCCGGAACCCAGATTACGAGCAGGGTTACAAGTGGACACCAGCTCTGGGAGGGGATGGGTGGGTGGATGGATTCCTGAGGCTCACTGGTCAGCTAACCTGTAGCCAGCCTGGCCGAACTGGCAAGCCTCAGGCAGTGAAAAACATGTCTCCAAACAAAGCCACGGGGGATGGTTGACCTCTGGCCTCCACACACGCACATGCGTGTGATACCTGCACACACACACACACACACAGAGAGAGGGGGGGAGGGAGGGAGGGAGGGAGAGTTTAAAACAGATAAGTGAACTGAGCACCAGCTTCCATCACGCCTTCCGGACGCCATGTGCCCCACTGCCGATCTCTCCTGATGGGCTGTACCTTGAACTGTGACCCTGGTTCAGCACAGCCGTACAGGCCTGGTGCTTTGCCACAGTCCTAAAGAAGGACCTGGAGACAGGAAGGGCCATCTGGGCTCCCTTGCTGAGTGCCTCAGTTTCCCAGTGGGGTCTCTTGTCTTGCTCTGCAGCGGAGAGTTGCCTTGTGTCTGTCCCTTGCAGGGAGCGTCAGATTCGTTATGGATGCCACCCTTGGGTGCCCCGCCCGGTCCCTCAGTCAACCATTGGCAGTGGTGGGGTTCGGGAGCCTGGTGGGCCAGGAGGAGGGAGTCGCATAGGGACCGAGGGGTGGGTAACTGCGCTCACCAGGCCTCCTCTGCCCTTGGCAGACTCCTTAGCCCCTCTGAGGTCTTTGATGGCATTCCAGCCAACCTTTTCCAGATGTGCGGATGGAGGGCTTTGTAGGAACTCTCTAGGGCGTCATCTGCCTCCTCTGCCAGACGACCCCCTGCTGGCTGGCCCCCTGCTCTGGTGGGGCTGCCTGCTGCTCAGGGGGCAGACGCCTGCCAGGCTAAATGGAGTTCCGACTTAAATACTTTAAGATGTGGTCTTTCCTTCCTGTCCCTCCTCCTCTCCCCCTTCCCACTCTTCCTCTTCTTTCTTGCCCCCTCCTCCCCTTTGTCTTCCTCTTCCTCATCCTGACTGTGGAGTGGAAGCTCAGAGGCCCCGTGTCTGGGCCATGCCTCCCACCTCTGTTGGACCTGAGCTACAACGGAAGAGGCTGTCTGCAGGTCTGCTGTGTTTTCCGCTTTTCTTGGTGTGTGTGTGTGTGTGTGTGTGCATGTGTGTGTGTGCGTGTGTGTGCGCGAGAGTGTGTGTGTGTGCGAGTGTGTGCGCATGCATGTGTGAGTGTGTGCATGTGTGTGTGTGTGTGTGTGTGTGTGTGTGTGCAGGTCATTTATGAGCCAGTTGTCTCCTTCCACACTTACATGGGCTCCAGGAATTGAACTCAGGTCTCCAGGCTTGTGGGCAAGCCCTTCATTCACTGAGCCATCTTGCTGGCCCATGACCAGCCTTATCAGGTTCTGACCCTAGCCCTTCCAAGCGCTTTAGCCACTGAGCTCTCTCTCCAGCCTCCGCCTGACTCCATCGTTATTTGAGATGAAGCCTGCCTACTCACTAGGTGGCCCAGGATGGTCTCAAACTCACGGTCCTCTTGCCTGTTTCTCAAGAGCTGAGACAACAGAGCCTTTTTCTCTTCATTGTGGTCTCTGGTCAAGAAGCAGAGGCTAGGCAAGCCAGGGGGCCTGGAAGGATGACACGCCCAGGGAGTGAGGGATGTCAGGTTCTTCTGGATGGGGAATTACGGTTGAGCCAGTGACTTCTGGATCACGGTAGTACCCAGGATCCCACTAAGAGACCTCATGTTACTGTAGGGAGCTCTCCTTTGAAGGACAGAGGGTTATGGCCTCTGCTCAGCTATCTTAAGTGATTGGGTATCCTATCTCTGATGGGAATACCTTCTTCAAATCTCTCTTTACAAGTGTGTGTGTGTGTGTGTGTGTGTGTACATGCATGGCACATGTGGAGGTCAGAGGACAATTTTCAGGCATCAGGTCTCTCCTTCCACTAGGCAGGTCCTGAGGATCGAACTCAGGTTGTCAAGTTTGGCAGCAGGCACTTTTATTGACTGAACCATCTTCCCAGCCCTTCTAATCTCTTTTAATGCAACCTGCCTTTGGGGACACTTGGGCATGTCTGCAGCCTCCCAAGATGGTCACTGCATAATTGTGGGTCTGTAGCAAGACCCCTCAGGGCTGCCTTCATGCCACATTCTTGTGATGTTGACGCTTCCTTTGGAGGATCTGTGTACCCTTAGGGTTTCTGTTTCTGTGAGAAAACACCAAGACAAAAGTCAACCTGGGGAAGAAAGGACTTGCTTCATCGTTCCATTTGTAATCCACTGTCCACAAGTCAACGTAGGAACTTGAGGCAGGAACCTGGAGGCGGGAACTGATGTTGAGACCGTGGCGGAGCGATGTTTCCTGGCTGGCTCACCATGCCTTGCCCAGCCAGCTTTCTTACAGCACCCAGGACACCAGCCCAGGGTGGCCCCGCCCACAGTGAGTTGAACCTCCTACGCCAATCGGTCATCAATAAAGAAGATGTACCAAGCTGGGCGGTGGTGGTGCACGCCTTTAATCCCAGCACTCGGGAGGCAGAGGCAGGCGGATCTCTGTGAGTTCGAGGCCAGCCTGGTCTACAGAGTGAGTTCCAGGATAGCCTCCAAAAAGCTACACTGAGAAACCCTGACTGTAAAACACCAAACCAAAACAAAAGTTTGTCTCCACAGTGACTCTAGACCCTGTAAAGCTGACAACCATTAGTAACCACCTCAGAGGGTCTCTGCAGGCTTGGGGGCTGCTGCAGAGGGCAAGGCCTCTCTGACTGCATGGGGTCCAGGTCCAGTGTGGAGGTGAGGAGAATGTTAAGTGTCCTCTCCTATCGCTTCCTCCATATTCCCTTGAGACGGGATCTCTGACTGACCCTGAACTATGCTGACAGCATCAGGCCCCAGCAATTCCCCTTGAGTCTGTCAAACCTAGGCTACTTGGAGTCCGGCCTCATCCTCCTCTGGAAAGTGAGGCCATCTGTCCCTGCTGGGTCCCTGGCTCTCGGTTAGCAGCCCCTGGCCTCAGGCGGAGGTGTCTCAGAGGGCACGTGCTAAGGTGAGTCCCTCACAGGGGGAGCACTTGCTGCAAGCCGAGGACCCGAGACTGCTCTGTGATCACGGTAGAAGGAGAGAACTAACTCCCACAAGTGTCCTCTGTCTGTCTGTCTG